CGAGGATTCAGACCCTTGTCTTCTGCCTTCAAATCCAACACTCCCTCCACTGTACCTGACTTCCTCCTAAAAATCCTTATACTATCTCCCATACTCAAATCATGCTTACATCAAAAATCAAAGCAGGCACGTCTAAGAGGCCTGTTCCTGTTTCTGATGGTGGTGATACATGGTAATATATCAGGTCTGATGCCCATGTGGCCTACTCCTCTCTGGTCCAGGTCATGGCCACATGTTTAGGCAGGTGGGTCCTGACCCTAGCCAGTCAGCTTATTAATGTTTGCTCTTAATCACAAGGTCAACAGCCTGAGAGAGCATAGATGTATTACCTTAAATCTGTGCTCACCATAAGAACAAACAACCTGAAAGGGCAGTGAGTCATACAATCACCAAATGTCAGAGCTGGAATGGACCTCAGAACACAGCATTTAAAAGAGTCTAACCAGAAAGAACTTTTGGGGTCCTCTTAATCCAATAGGCTCATTTTGCAGATGGGAAAACAGAGGCCCAGAAAGTGATTTGCCCAAGGTCATATAGCCAGTCCATGGCAGAGGCTGGCCTCAGATCCTGGTCTCTGGACTCTCCGTGCTCTTCCTCCAGCTGTGAAGTTCACCTCAGTAGCCATCACTGAACACCTCTATGGACTGGACTTGTAATTTCTTCCCAGTGAGGAAACCCACTCAGTACTTTCTCTGCAATTTATAGTCTTGGACAGCTGCAGGGTCACACATGCCTCCAGGGTATGGCAGAGATGGGACACAGAGGACACCCAAGAAGGGCTCCCGGGAAAGGAGACATGCCCTGCAGCCCAGCCCAAGGACTACCCATCTGATTCCCCACAGCCAAGTTAATCCCCTACCTGGAAGAACTGCCTAGCAAGGTGGCTAGGTGAGTGGCCATGGCTAAGGAACAGAGTACCTACTATGTGCCAAGACACTGTGCTAAGTGCTTTACAAATATCTGTGAGGATCATCCTCATGACAACCCTGGGGGGTAGGTATTATTATTATCCCCATTTTACAGATGAGGAAAACTGTTTGAGACAGAGATGAAGGGACTTGTCCAAGATCCTACAGCTAGGAAGTATCTGAGGTTGCATTTGAATTCAGGTCTTTCCGACTCCAGACTTGGAGCTCCTGGTGGCCCAACTAAGCGCAATTCCTCTTCAACGCTTCAAAACAGTAAGATATGCAACAAAGTTAAACAACAGAAAATTAGGAGAAAGGAAAGAAATCATTCCAAGAAAATCCCAGAGGAAAACCAGCAGACACTGAAGAAATGCATGACCTCTCCATTCCATCTCCAGCCTCCACAACTTTTCTGAGACTGTCCAAAATGCCTGAAATTCGCTCCTTCTTTCCCTCTGCCTCACAGACTCCCAAAATGCACTCAAGGTTTAGCTCTTATTCCACCGCTTATAAGAATTCTCCCTTGGCCCCCTTTCCTTTGTCAAATTATCATGGATGTTTACATGGATACATTTTATATCACCTCAAGTGAATTCTATCAAACATATGAAGAGCAATTAAACCCTCTGCCACATAAACTGCTCTCAAAAATTGAGAAGGCATTCTATCAAGCTCCTTTCATGGTATAAATATGTGGCATTGATATTTAAATCAGGAAGAGATAGAGCACAGAAAGCACTAGAGACTAATATCACTCATAAATAGTGATGCAGAAATCTTACATTAAGTATTAGCAAAGACATACCAAAAATCATCATTATGACTAAGGAGTATTTATGGCAACTTATCATTAATCACGTGACTAACAAATACAAGAAAAGCCATAAATAAATCAAATAAAATATAAAAATGAAAAAAGCCTTTGACAAAATGATACTCATTTATGTTAATAATAATAATAATAACAGCTGATATTTACAGAGTGTTCACAATGTGCCAGACACTATGCTAAGCACTTTACAATCATGAATTCATTTGATCCTCACCAACAGTTCTGGGAGGTAGGGGCTATTATTATCCCCATTTTACAGATGAGGAAAATAAAGCAGACAGAGGTCAAGTGACCTGTCCAAGGTCACACAACTAATAAGTGTAAAAGAAAAATTAAGTTGCATAGAAATGCAACGGCCTTCCTTTAAATGATCAAAAACATTTAGCAAATATCAAGAGGCAGCATTATTTGTAATGATACATACTGGAAGCCTTCCCAAGAAGATCAAGAATGAAGCAAAGCTGTTTCATGTTTTCATTATTATTTGACATAATACTAGAAATACTAACTATATCAGACAAGAGCAAGATATTAAGGAAATATACATTGGCAAAGAGGCAAAATTATCTTTATCTGCAGATGGTTTACTTAGAGAACCCCAGAGAATAATGAAAAAAACCTAATCAAAACAACTCCTCGCCTCAGCCAAGTAGCAAGATTCAAAATAAATCCACAAAAATCATCAACATTTCTACACACTACTTAAAAAAAGCCAGCAAGAAGAGAAAATCTATTTAAAGTTGCCACAGAAATGCATAACTTCCCATGACACAAAAAAGGCAAAAAAAAAATACAACTCCAACATAATATTTACAGAAATAATAGAAGAGCTAAATATTGGGAGTGATGTTCAATGTGCATGGCTGGCCACATTAATTTAGTGATATGCCAAATCATGCAGGAAAAGTAGGAGGAGGTAAAAACAATAGCAAAATTTTATCTCGCATAGTCAAATGTGGAGAATATCAAGGGAATTAAAGGCGATGGGGGAGGAAAGTAAGAATAAAGTAGACTTAACATTACTGAGTCTCAAATTACATTATAAAGCAGTAATTATCAAAACTGTCTGCTACTAAAATCAAGAGAATGTCATATATAGTAACAGCAATATTGTATGATGATCAACTGTGAAAGACTCAACTACTCTGATCCAAGACCAATCCAAAGGACTTAGGATGAAAAATGCTCTCCATCTCCAGAGAGAGAACTGACAAACTCTGAGCGCAGACTGAAGCATATTATTTTTCACTTTCTTTATTTTTCTTGCTTTCTTTGGTAACATGGTTAATATGGAAATATGTTTTGCATGATTTTGCATGCATAATGGGTATCATATTGCTTGCTTTCTCAAGGGTCTAGAAAAAAGGAGAGAATTTGGAAGTCAAAATTAAAAAAAAAAAGAATGCTAAAAGAAGTAAATAACAGAAACATATAAAAACAACCTATCTGCTACTAGTTAAAAAAAGGATAAAGGTATATCAGTGAAATAGACTAGATAAAGAAGACCTAGAAGTGAACATTTACAGTAGTCTTGTGTTCAATAAATAAGAATACCAACTATTAAAGGAGGTATCCTTTAATAAGAACTGCCAGAAAAACTGGAAAGCTGTTTGGCAGAAAATAAGTTTAGACTAGCATCTAATACCGTGAAGCACAAAAATTGCAAATAGATAAATAATCTAAAAAAAAAATTCACATTAAAAAAAACTGGAAAAAATTGGAAGTTGCATCATTCACCACTATAGATAGCAGAATTTCCAAATAGTCATGTGATGCAAGAGATCATAAAAGACAAAATAGGCAATTTTGAGCATATCAAATTAGATGAAAGTATAATATATAGAGAGCTAGAAACTAATTTAGAGCTAATCCATCACCCTCATTTTACAGGTCAAAAAACTGGGGCCTAGAGAGGTTTAAGTGACTTGTCCAAACACACAGAGGTAGAACCAGGATTCAAACTAGGTCCTCTGACTCAAAATCTAGTGTTCTCTCAAGGCTTTTGCATGAACAAAATCAATGTATACAGAAGAAGAAGAAAAGATAAACATTATTAAAAAAAAAAACTTCACATCAAACATTTCTGATGGAATTCTGACATCCAAAATCTACAGAGAATTCACACAAATCTAGAAGACTAAGAGCTGTTTCCCAATAGATAGTCAAAGAAATAAACAGTTTTTAAAAGAAGAAATGCGAACTATCAACAATCATATGAAAAAATCACTAATGTTAAAAATGCAGACTCAAACAACTGTTAGTCATTAAGTTCACTCACAAAAAATCTGCCAGGATGGTAAAAGACAGACAAATATTGGAAGGACTGTGGGAAAGCAGACGTGTTAATTCACTTCTGGTAGAAACGTGAGTTTGGTCCTACAGTTCTAGAGAAGAATTTGAAATTAAGCAAGAAAAGCACCAAAATGTTCATACCCTTCAATTTGGCAATCCTGCCTTTGGCTTCAGAGACCAATGAGGTCGGTGACACAAAGAAAAATCCCACATATACCAAGAAGAACTTTTTCTAACTGCAAAAAGTTAGAAATAAACGAAATGCCCATAGAAAGGAGAATGACTGAACAAATTGTAATCTAGGCATAATGAAATATCACTGCATTATGAGGAATTCAAAGAAACTTGAGAACACTGATGAAATGATGTAGACTGAATTAAGCACGAACAGGAGAAAAATACATACAGACAACTAGTGGTAGGTACTTTACAGGGCCTCAAGCCCTTCACCTCTCTCATGTGTTTTAATATGTTAGGGGCATCACTTCCAGAGAGAGAAGTGATGGGCTAAGAGTACACATTGAGGCATATTTTGGGGAAGGAAGGGTGGAAGTGGGGGCCATGGCCAAGGCAGGGATTTGTTTTGCTTGACTATATATGACTGTAACGGGTTTTGTTTTTCTTGTCTTTTCAATTGGGGGAAAATGGGGGTGGGGAGGGGAAAAGGTGGGAGAAAGAGCATGGGGACCTAAAAATCAAATGAGATTGAATCTAAAAAAAAAAAATATAAGGGCCACCACCCTTGGCAGGATCTCAGATTCTGGGGGAATAGCACTAAGTTCAATTCCGTTACAGAGGTCTAGTGGCCAGCTGTCTTTATAGGCCTTCCCAGAGAAAAGTTCGGATATAAACTCCTGACGCCTTTTTTGTTGTTCTAGGCCCAGGAGAAGTGGATGACTCCACTTTGTAAGTCCTCCCTCTCCTTGCCGAAAGAAGACACTCACTGTTCAGAAGCTGTTGGCACTGACCTTCATTTTCTTCCACTGAAGAAGTATAGAAAACAGTCCTTTCCCGCAGTGGGCGCTTAGAAATTGTGATGGGCTTGTGTCTTCTTGCCGTCACCCTGGGAGGAGGCACTGGCGGTGCAGCATTGTCCTCTGGTGGGCCCGAATAGATCTGTGGGATTAAAAGATCCAGGAAACACTGAGAAAGATTCATAGACTTGTTTAGAACTGGAATGGACCTTCGAGGCCATTTAGGCCAGCCCTTCATTTTACAAGACCTTCCTTGTCAGCCCATTCCCATTGTTAGACAACTTGAATTATTAGGAAGATCTTCCTTGTTAGTAAGCCAGAATCTGGCTCTCTGAACTTCCCCCACTGTATCAGAAGCCACAGCTTCTATTATTGGCTGCCCCGGAAGAAAGGTGACTGAAGACCTTGGTCAGAGGCATCAGGCACGTAGTACACAGTTGAATCTAAGGACACTCATTCCATCTGTCACCCATTTTTCCCACAGTGATTACATTGTCAATATCTATGCCAAAGGCTCCCCTAGCACCAGACGGACACAAACAGTGGTAAGGCATACATACCATCAAGAAACACCCTTTGGTTGGCTGATTAAACCAACAGAGCCCTCGTAAGGAACAAACTCCAAGAGGCATCATTCTCCATAACGGAGAAAGTCTAGAGGCCTTTCCTATAAGCTCAAAGCTAAACCAAAGATGGCCACTGTCACAACTATTACTTGACACAGTTATACAAGTGCTAGTTGGGACAATAAAATGAGAAAAAAAGAATTGAAGGAATGAGCACAGAGGAGGAAAGTAAAATTGTCTTCTTTGGTAATTGACAAAAATAGGATGGTGTACTTAGAGAAGACTAACAGTTCAACTAAAAATTAATAGAAACCATTAACCACTTCAGTCAAGCAGCAGGATATAAAATAACCTACATCCCAATCATCATCCTTTCTATAGACTACCAACAAAATCCAGCAGTCATTAAAAAAAATTCCATCCAAAATAACTACAGATTGTATCTGGGAGTCCACCTACCAAGATTCATAGAGGAATTATAGGAATATAACTAGAAAACACTCTTTACAGAAAAAAAAAGGATGATTTAAAAATTGAGGAGCGATTGCTTGCCTGGCACATAGCAGGTACTTAATAAATATTTATTTAACTGAATTGAATTGATTGCTCATGGCTGGGCCATACTAATATAATCAAAATGACAATATTACCTAAGTTTTTGGAAGTTTTTGTGTGTGACAGATTCAGTGACATGCCAAACTCCCCAAGGATTCACTTTAAAGAACCAGACAAAATAATAACAAAATTCATCTGTGAGAACAAAAGGTCAAGAATCTGAAGGGAATAATCAAAAGAAGTAGGAAGGAAGAGGGTCCAGAAGTACAAAATCTTAAACTGTACTACAAAGTGGTAATCATCGAAACAATTCAGTAGTGGGTAAGAAATCAAAGTTGATCAGTGGAACAGATTAGGTCCACAAGGCTCAGAGGCAATTGAACGTAATAGCATTGCATTCAGTAAATGCAGGGACACCAATTACCAGACTAAGAACTCACTATTTGACAAAAACTCCCTATGGAAATAGGTCTAGGAGAAATTAGGTCAAGACCAACATCTCATACCACAATAAGTTCTAAATGGACATATGATCTCAACATGAAAAGTCATATAAACTACTGGAACAGGAAAGGAGATAAAATGGACAGAGGAAAATTCCGTGGCTAAACAAAGGTCAACGAGGACATAGAGGATATAGGAGATAAAATGGACAATTTTGATTACATAAAATTGAAACGCTTTGGCACAAACAAGATCAATGATGTCAGAATCCGGAGGAAAACAAGTTAGCTGGGAGGGAAAAAAGAATTTTGTAGTAAATTTCTCTGATAAAGGTCCTATATCTAAAATATATATCAAGTAACAAGTATTTATTACATGCCTACTAAGTGCCAGGCAGTGTACTAAGCACTGGGCATACAAAAAGTGGCAAAAGACAGTCCCTGCCCCCAAGGAACTCACAATCTAATGGAGAGATAACAAGCAAACAATTATGTACAAATAAGCTCTAGACGGGATATATAGTAGATAATTAAAAAAGAGAAGGAACTAGAATTAAGAGGCTTTGGGAAAAGTTTCCCATAGAAGGTGAGATTTTATATGGGATTTGAAGGAAGCCAGGGAAGCCAAGAGGAGGAAGAGCATTCCAGGCATGGGGGACACAGCCAGAAACAATTCCTGGAGAAGAGAGATGGAGCGTTTTGCTTGTAGAACAACAAGGAGGTCAGTGTCACTGGATTGAAGAGTACATAGCAGGGAGTAAGATTTAAGAAGATTGTAAAGGTGGGGGGTAGGGGTGGGGAGGAGGAAAGAGGGCTAGGTTATAGAGGGCTTTGAATACCAGAAAGAGGATTTTCTATTTGCTCCTAGAGGCTGAAGGGAGCTATTAGAGTTTATTGAGAAGGGGGCGACATGGTCAAACCTGTGATTTTTAGGAAAATCACGTTGGCAGCTGAATGGAGGATGTTTTTGAGAGGGGCGAGATTGAAGCAGGCAGACCCCTTCCCTCCTCAAGCAGTTGCTGCAATAGTCCAGGGGTGAGGTGATAAGGGGTGGCCGTGTCAGAGAGGGGGCATATGGAAAAGATGTGGCAAAGGTGAAATAGACAGGCCATGGCAGCTGACTGGACATGGAGGGTGAGAGACAGTAAGAAGTTGAGGATGACTCATAAGTTTTGAGCACCAAAAAGATGGTGGTGCCCTCAACAGTAACAGGAAAGTTGGAGGGTTGGGGAGGGAGACAGAGTTTATGGGGAAAGATAATGAGTTCGATTTGGGACATGCTGAGTCTAAGATGGAAATCCATTTAGGGAATGAATATGAATATAGTTAACAAGAGAAATGGAAATTCAAAGAAGTCTGAAGTTCCACCTCCCACCCACCAGCTTGCCAAAGATGATGACCAAATTGTATGGATCCTATAGGACCCAGCAATACCACTAGAAGGCGTATATCTTGAAGAAACAAAAGACTTGAGAAATGACCCTTTAATCAGTTAGGTGGTGGAGTGGATTGAGTGCTAGGCTTGGAGTCAGGAAGACCCGAGTTCAAATTCTGTCTCTGATACTAACTTACTAGCTAGGTGACCCTAGGTGAGTCAGTTAAACTTTCTTGATTTCATTTTCTTTATCTGTAAGATGATGAGAGTTGGAGAAAGGTCCCCTCCAGCTCTAAATCTATGACCCTGTGATTCATGCATACAAAAAGATTTATAGTAGCACTTCTGTTGTAGCACAGAACTGGAAGCAAAGTGGCAGGGCCCATCAGTTGTGGAATGGCTGGATGAATGAAGATCTATGAATGTAATGGGATATTACTAAGCCAGAAGAAAAGATGAAAAGCAGATTCAGAGAAAGCTGGGAAGACTTGTATGAACTGATGCACAGTGAAGTGAACAGACTCAGGAGAACAATTTAGACAATAACAACAACATTCCGAAGACAAAACAACTCTGAAAGCCTTAAGAATGCTAATCAATGCAATAGCCAACCATGACTCCAGAAGCCTACTGCTCCCCACCTTCTGACAGAAAGGTGATGGACTGCAGGTATAGAATGAGATACATTGTTTTTGGACAAGGCCAACACAATATAATTTGTTTTGCTTGACTGTACGTATTTGGATTGGTGGATCTAGAGGTAGAAGGGGCCTCAGAAGCCATCTCATCCAGCCTCCCCCCGCCATTTTATAGAAGAGGAAACTGAGGCCCAAGGAGGTGAAGGGACTTTCTCAAGGTCACATATAATAAGCATCATACTAAGTGCCAGGCACTGCACTAAGCGCTGGGGATACAAAAAGTGACAAAAGACAGTCCCTGCCCCCAAGGAGCTCACAATCTAATGGGGGAGACAAGAAGCAAACAATTATGAGACAGGATTTGAATCCTGGTCCTCTGACTCCAGAACTAGAGCTCTTCCCACTGTATTTCCCTCCTCCTCAAGGGAAGTCTTTTATCTTTCTGTTACTCTACGAGGTAGAGTTTTTATTTAGAGAGAGAAGAGAGTGTTCTGGGTGACAGTGATGCCCCTCATAAAAGAGTGTCAATGAAATATTGAAACAGTACAGAGAAGGGAGTGGAAGGATAGACAAGAATGCCAATGTTGGTAATCTCATGGTCAATTTGATGTACATTTTATAAAAAGCTATACATGGTAAATTCACAGTTTCACATGCAATCCTCTTTTTCAATCCTTCTTTGCTTATGGAGATACTTGTGACTATCAAGTTCATAATAAAAAATGAATATTAAAAAAAGGATTGCTCCCAACCCTCCTTCCATGAGAGCTGCTCTGCTCATTCACCACAGAGTTTCCAAATCACCAGAAGCCATGTTGACCAGGTCTCACTGCCCCCCTCCCCGCCTTCCCTAAAAGTGGTTTTTGTAATATTGTTTTTCTTTGCTATTTTCTTTCTTTCCTCTGCCACGTCTGAATATAAATGCTTAGAACCTTAAATTGAGGCAAATGCAATGGTTTCAGGCCTGAGCCTTCAGTTTTCCAGATGATGCATCCACCCACTCCCTCCCTGGTTCCCAGCAATTACCTGCTTGCTTATTTACTGCTAAAAGGGCATAGTGATCTGCCAATAGGAAAAGAGAGACAGGGTGGTATGCCAGAAAGAATACTCAAATGGGTGCACCAAGATCTGAGTTCTGGTCCCAGCTCAAAAACTTACTGGCTGTCAGAGGTGTTCTGGAAAGCCCCTTTTGGCTGGGACATTGTAACATTTTATGGTCTAAGATCTGGGTCTTATCCAGCACCAATACTCTATGATGAAATGAATGAATGAAAAAACAAATGATTAGATGCCTCCAATGTGCCAAGTACCAAGTACCTAGATAGGTGCTGGGGATGAAAGTACAAAAATGAGACGGTCCTGTCTTCAAGGAACTTACATCCTCCGAGAAAAACACGACACATGTGGAGGACTGTTATCCAGGGAAGGGAGACCTGGTTTGGGGAGTCACAGGAATGGTGAATGGAGCTGTGAGGCAAGGAATCCTTTTATCTGGTTCAGTAGCCATTCAAGTTGTCCTGATTTGATTAATGTTTCCAGAGCAAGAAGGAAAAACGAAAGGTGGA